ATGTGTCAAATCTCAATAATCACTCAGCTGACTATAATAACAACACATTCAGTAATCATTCACTTCGACCAATATTAAAAAATTAAACAAGTAAGCAGATAAATTTACTTCCAATTGCTGTTTTAGATTTAGACAAAACAAGGAAACGGTCATTAGAAAAAATCTTTGCAGATACTGAGGGTCCGGAGGACCTGTATTACAAAAAATCTGCAGGTCCACCCAATTCTGTGCTGGTCCAAACTTAGCATCTTATTAGGTCTATGATTGCATGCAATTTATCATAATGTACTGGACTTTCACACAAACCTTGCCAGTTCAGAGGACCTGCGACTTAAAAATTTTCGCAGGTCCTCTGGCATTTGAAGCGGTCAAGACCAGTTGGACAGGCAATTTCCCCATGTCTGAGACAGAAGTAAACATTTTGTTTTTTCTGTCAAAATCATATTTCAATTCAAATATTCCTTACTTTTTTCAAAACTTTATCAAAATTAATCTTCAGGAACACACCATGGTCTTCTAGCAACTAATTTCTCCTCAAACATTCTATAGTTTACAGGTAATAATTTCCAAGCAAACTTTGTAGGTAAATTTTAAATTGGGATCTTTGTTAAATATTAAGAAAAAATGCAGATAAACCAAGCTTAAGTTTTGCAAAATGACTCACCTTTGATGCCAAGCTGCTCATTCCTGTGGACATTTCATTTAGAATGGAACCATCCTTTACCTAGATGAAGTCAAAGGAAAGCATCCATTGATCAATTCCTAATCAAATTAATGCACAAGGCCCAAAACCAGTGATTGCATTTACAGCCACAAAGTTCTGTAACACAATCTTGAGTTAATTTACATATGCATAAGGAGGAACTTCACAATCAAATCAATTACCCAAGCTGATACAATCGACTATTCATTCTTGCAGATCCAGATTGCTCCTTTAACACTACACACGTTGCGCAGATAATTTGTTTTTCGTTCGATGCCATTAGTTCAGCGTAATTCAAATGAACTTCCTAAGGGACACAATCTTTTTAAACACGTTTTTTCCTGAACTTTAGCACCATGGTTTGCAGACATGTGCGGTGTCTACAGTGTTGGTTTTCTGACTTAACTCTTTTTCACAATGTGTGTATCATTATTCACGACCACCATAAATGTCAAACCAGATGAGATTCTGTGCCAAAAATAAGACTTATAATTATTAAGTCTAGATTGTGTGGCAATCCAGTTTGAAAGGAATGGTACAGGGTTTCTCCCTCACAGTAACACCTACATAAAATTCAGAAGAGAAAGCCAGTTTTCTTTCACTGTTTTATTTACCCAAGTCTCAGTTGATTTACAAAGGTTAAACTGAAAATCCCAATCAAGAGGGGAGTCCCTGGTACTGTATATTATCTGGTTTGCTTCACTGAGTCAATTATTCTGTTTTCGTACCCACGTAACAAGTAGCGTACTCACCTTTGTGGCAAAGTTGCCTACAGATGAAGATACATTGTCCAACAAATGACCATCAGACACCTACACACAGAAAGCATGCACAAGTACACTACTCAGTCTACAACTTAAGAAGAAACTTTTAAAAATGCACCTTTGAACTAACTCACACAGAGTGTTGGCAACACTTGTACTGATTGAATGACAGCTGTAAAGCAGTAAAGCTTTTCTTTATCTCACTTTGTTGTTATTATTGAAAAACTGTGCCACAATGCAGTGCAATATGGCTCACGCACATTTGTAAACACCTTTTGAATACGCAATTAAATGTGAGAATCAGAAATGCATAAACTCTTCAAATATTGAAAAGAGGCTGTGTGCAACAACAAAGACCCCAAGTGCAGTTAAATCAAAACATGGCCATAAGAAAAAATATTTCTGAGAAAAAATTTGGCTTAATGAGTTTGTAAGTTTTAATAAATTCAAATAATGTTCTGTGTAGGCATGATAGGATTTTGCTAGATGTGAACCCAAAACATATCAAATATTCAATAGTTTTTTAATCAAAACACTTAATTACTTGCCAAATACCTTGTGTAGAGGAGGCATGACTTTGAATTTTGAAGTACTTTCTTGTTTTTCAGTTTGGGCCATTCCACATATTTCTCTGTCATAATATTACACACACAAGAAACACACAATTATTTTTTTATATGTTAAAAGATGTGTGTGTGTATAAATATATCTTACAAATTTTTTCTTTCTTTTTTATTGTTATTCATATTATTTATGTGGGAAAGAAAAAAAAAATTGGAAAAATCTACTGACTCAGCAAATATCTCACCATGGAGAAAATTCTGTGGAATGATCCATTGGCTATATCACTGGTAGTACATTAAAACAGGAACAGACACTTAATACTCCCAAAACTCAATTAAAGGTCAAAGCAATAATGCAAAAAGATACACCACCAACAAAATTAAGCCACAAAGTAACAGGGTGAATAACTGTAAACATATTTCAAAGAAAGTTTTCAACTTCCTTACCCAACCATAGATCCCCTAGTATTTAGAATGTTAAAAGGAAAGATACCGTTGTTACATGGATTTATGGCAATAATGTGCATCAATCTGGTTCATTTTGTCTAGAAAACAACATTACTTAACATTCTGATTATGATACTTATTCCCTCAACCATATTACTTCCTTTTACCTGTATTTGATTAAAAAAAGGATTCTGGGCTAAACCTGAAGTACCTAATATCAAAAGACTAAAAAAAACTAAAAAATGTCCCCATGGGGCTAGTTTCACATAAAAACTGCAAACTGAAAATTGGTCGACATTTGAAAGGTACATTTGTGGTAGATACCTTGGATGAAATACTGCCTGTTTTATAACATGAAAGAAATGGATAATGTTTCAGACCACAAGTTTCTCTATTAAGTAGAACACAGTAGGTTTAGTTGGAACTGAAGCAGACTGAAATATTGGTCTAAAAGTGCAGGACATCCTTCAGTCCTTTGATTTTTTTAACCAGCCCAGACCACCATGTCTGTGCGCTTAATAAAGTAAAAACAAATAATGTGATTTGAGAAGTAGACCTTGACCTTGAATATTCTACCTGCACCTGCCTTTTACTAATACCTTCTGGTTATGTTATTTACACTTTCTCAAAAACATCCAAAACATACTTGTTTTGATCAAAATATTCATTTACTTGATAGTTGGATTATTTAAGACTATTTAGAAAAAACTGAAATTTTTTTCACACTTTGCTTAAGCCAAGCCTGTCAGAGGCCTTCATCAGACTGACACTGATGTGATGAAGGTCCCTCACAAGGGATGGCTGTATGCTAATGGTGGAAAAATTCCAGCTTGCACTAAATAACATTACTACTATAAGATTGTTTCGAGCAGAATTACATAAAACATATCTGCATAGTAAAGAAGAGGTGATTTCTGTTCACAAAATAAGCTGTATTTTCATATCACAGATCTATATTTTAGATTGTTTTTTAGAATACTGTGAAAACAATTCTTTCTCTTCTAATGGTAAATAACCACCGAAGGATGTTATGCATTTAAACATCTTTATTACCAAAGCTACCACCATTTATAAGTTGAAAATTAGGAGTGCAAATAAGAGTGAAATAGGACCAATAAACTATCTAAATAATTCCTTGAAAGCTTGGCCTGAAGTTAAAAGGCTATTCAGTCAATATCCATCTGAAGGTTGAAGGTAAATTGGTAAATAGGAAAGATAGCTTTATTTGCCAGCAGCAGTTGGGTATTCAGCCATAGCTAGTTTCTGTGAAAGCTAGAATCCCTGCTGTGTGAACTTGAATAAGCTGTTATGTGTAAGCAGGCTGCCGAATTGAATAAGGTCATATTCTCAAAAAGTAAAAAAAAATTCAAATTAATCATTCTTTGTTTAATTAAATTGATCTTAAATGACTTGAACTCTCGTTATCCCTTGAAAATGGATGAAAATAGGCAATAAACCAGAAATAGTTTCCTTTCAAACATACAAAGACAGTAAATTACATTCCCTCTCATTTCTTTTTCCCAGAAAATTGCCCTCATTAGGGAAAATACTTTGGGCAAACAACAAGAACTCTAGTTATACATACCTTGTTCCTGGTAGGTTTTACAATAGTTTCATTCAGTGATGAACCCAATTCTTTAGTCTTCTGTCCTGCTGTGCTTGCCAGTTGACTCGCCTGGAAATAGACATTCATGAAATTAAAAGTGTAAGAACTGAAAATCCTTTAAGTACTTCAGGCCATATAACATAACACTGTGACACAGGGGGAATGTACTCTCATGCCTCACATTGCATATATATATATATATATATATATATATATATATATATATATATATATATATATATATATATATATATATATATAATCTGCCTTGCAACAGCCACATTACAGACCTTGGGAGGGTGTGCACCTGTCCTAGCCAGCAATCTCCCTCACTCATACCTGAAATACTACATAAAACATGGGACACATTGATAATTTGCGCCAGCTGCTTGAAAGGAGCCTTTTGTACTTAACCTTCCTTAAAAACAGAACCAATTCTATTGATATTCTAGTTGCATAAGTGGAAATGGGGCACAGGACATGGATTGGACTTTAAAAACAGGAACAGCTGCCATAAAATTCAGAACAAAATAACCACATAACATGGATATGATGGCAAACTTAGCTTAGCACTATCATTATATTATCATTGTCTGCCTTCCACATTGGTCAGTTCAAACTGAAATGGCAAAAAAAATCATTGACATGTATTTTCATGGAAACGCCTTAATGGTCACACAAAAATATGTCAGGCACACCATAACTTTTTTGTCGTTGGGTGTATGAAATTTCAGGCCTAATTATGTCTTGAGTCATTCAGATAAGAAAATTTTTTTAACAAATACAGGATCACCCACAAAGACTGTAATGAATTGTTTGAACACGATTGAAAGGGATTGTAAAAGATTGTTTGAACACTATTATTAAAGAGATTGCCAAAAGCGTGAAATGCTTGGGTATCAAAAACAAGATCTTTAAAACTTTGTTAAAAAAAAGATAAAATGATCAAAAAAACAAACGGGTGAAAACATAACCTCCTTGGCAAAGATAATAAAGTGAGAAAAAATCAAGATGGGCATAAAATTCAGAACTGACAGCATCCATTACAGCAATGATGGAGAGATGGGTGGACAAAGAGCTCTACTTTCAAATAACAGATGGATAAATGTATTCTACCATACTTTCCTGAACTTCCTTTTGGAAAAAGAGGGGCCT